CTCTTTTGTCCACAGTCACTTATTTGATAATGACTAAAAACCATTTTAATGAAGCCCAACTTATTTTGGTATATTTACAATCTTTCTTAGATTGAACTTCCACATCATAAGAGAGAAAAATATGGTCGTAGGACATCTAGATTTTTTATATCTTAGAAAAGAAGTATAATCTTATCCATCATGATCCTCTCACTGAACTCCCTATTTACTTTACTGATGCCTCTTTTCAATCACTTTTTGGGTGGGATTAGAGTTCTGAGAATGATGATTCATAAGAAAAAGAGAGATCTCCAGCTGCATAACCTATACCTATATCTGGACCTAACCAAAATTTCTAACAAAAAATGGTCCAGCGCTTTGATAGATTGGAAACTCATTTTGATTAATGCTTTGATCAAAATGAGAATCACTTAAATAAGTAGGATCTGAGGGTAGTTTGACATAGTGAATATGAATGTAGCTACAATCAGTAGTTATTTTTCAATATTCAACCAACCATCTCCTCCCGATCAGGGCTCCTCTATATTGTTGTTGCTTATGAGTCTTTATGTTTGATGTTTTGTTGTTTCTCCTATGAGTTTAGTGTTTTTATACATTATTTTGAATTTCTAAGATGATGTTAGTTGAATGATATTATGTGAAATGATATCAAATAACAAACATGTTTGGTTGTGCTCCTTAATAATCAATGAAATGGTGGAATATTTTTTTCACTTGTATTGAATTTCATTTCTTGAAATATTTATATTTTTAATGAAAAAATCTTTTGTTGTTCATCAATGGAATGGATTATAAATTACTTTACTCTATAAATTAATTTTATAATAAAATTTAATTTTTCAAAAATTTAAATTAAATTATCACTTGATGTAGATAAGGAGATCAATTTCATGTTCTTATAGATAAACATATCTAAGCTATAATTGTTACAAGATTGATGTCTTATTATCTTTATTTCTTTTTCAATATATTTATTTTTATTATTAGCAGAATTTGAATTTAGATTACTGATATTGGAAATACCTAAAAATTAAAAAAAAAAATGTGCACAAAGCTTGCAAAAAAAGAAAAGATGCACAATAGTTTGCAAAGTGAAAAGATGCACAAAATTTAGTCTAAATAGAAAAGATTCACAAAGTGTGCTACAAATATTTGAAAAGATGCATAATATCGTAAATTAAAAACATTTATAGTGTTCTTTCATTTATTATTCTATCTATAATCTAAATCCATCTAATTAATAATCATATTCACTATTGAATTTAAATTAATTAATCTCTATTTTAACATTTTTATAATAATCATTTTTTATTTAATTTGTCTAGTATGAACAATAAACCTAGTTGACTTTTCTTAACTTAGTTATTCTTTGATTTAAAATTTTTAAATTTGTTTTTTTTTTAGTATGAAAAAGTTAATATTGTATTTACAATTGGTTTAAAATTCTTTTCTTCTTTAACTCATTTTGTTTATCTATAAAAACTTTTCATTTCAAGGGTTCCTCCCCTTTTTGTTGTTGTCAAAAGAGGGAGACAAAAATTTATTTTTAATGTGTATATGTGTGCTATTATGTTGTACTGTGTATTTTTTTTTATTAGTGTTCAAATTTTGTTATGTATGTTTTTGTTAGTTTTCATATTTTTGTTTGAGTTGTTTTTATTTTTACTAGTTATTGTTTTTTTTTTTGTGTTTTTTTTATCTTCGTGGGAATCCCTTATTTTTAGTTTGGCTATTCATTTAGGGCGAGCTAAGAAGAAAATTGCTTTATTTGTTTACTCAAATAATAATTATTTTATGATCATAAAAAATGGTAGATTGTTGCAACTTAGTTTTCTTAACTATACGTTTATATCACATTTAATTTTGATGATTCTAAAATATTATTGTATAGATTAATATTTCTCCTAAAATATATTAGAAATGTTATTTTTATTATGTTTATGTGTACTAACATTTTTGATAAATAATACTCCTAGCTGCTGAAGATTTCAAGACAATTTTGATTAGGGTTTATTATAGTTGAAGTACGTACTTTTTATATTTTTCTTGAGTCTGAGAGAGTGTGATTGTAATTAGGTAATCATGCATACACACATTGGGGGAGTGTAAAAACTTGTATTTTAAACAAATCATAATATATGATCATAGATTGTACGGGATAATTTTTTCAGAATGTTCCTCCAGAACAGAGTTCATCGAACCATGCCTTGAAACTTTTCTAAGTCCCATTCATATTGTACAAAGTTAACTTTTATACATATGACGTCTAGAGTACGAAATAGATACATACTAATTCTTCTGAAATGAACTCAAAATTTTTTTGAATTGATCATTTTGTATGATCTTTGGTTCGTATCATTTCGACCATATGAATAGATATATTTTTTGAATTGTTCGTATTTCATGATCATAAGATCGTACAGATGATATCCAGAGCATAAAATGGACTCATTCATTTTTTATACCAAATGAAATATAGTTTGGTTTAAATAAATCATATTGTACGATATAGGGTTCGTACAGTACGCTATCTAGAGTATGAAATTGGTTCATACTAAATCATACAAGATAAATCTATTTAATTTTGAACTAATCATACTATACGATGTCAGTTTATACATATGCTAATCAGAGTACAAATTGGTTCGTGTAGAATTATACGAGCAATTTTTGAACTAATCGTACGTATGATGTGCTTTAGTATATATGATCCTAGAAGATCAAATTGAAAATTTTAATTTTCTCGACGGTTTTTCATGTCTTTACTATATAAGACTCCTAAAAATTGACTTAAACAAATCCTTATTTGATTTTTTTTTTAGAGCAAGAGTGAGAGTGCTTTGGGAGAGTGTTTGAGAGTGTGGATAGAGAGATCTTGCAAGTGAAATTTGTGAAGGGTTCACAAGGTTGCCCAACGGTGAGGATCTCTTTATAAGTATGTAAAATCTCTTCCTTACTTCTTTAAAGATGCTTGAGAGAATATCTTTTTAGAAGATCTGATTCTCTACCGACCCTAGGAGGGTGTGAAAATATACTAATACTTAGCTGATACTAGGAGGGTGTGAAAGGATGACAGTTCTCTACTGACACCAAGAGGGTGTGAAAGGATGACAATTCTCTGCTGACACCAGGAGGATGTGAAAAGATGTCAGTACACTACCGACACCAGGAGGGTGTGAAAGGATGATAAATTTCTGCCAACACTAGAAGGGTGTGAAAAAGAGTCAGTACAATGCCACACCAAGGATTGGTGGAAGAGAGGATAAGTGTATGGGCTTCTCTATCCTGTTGTGGGGCAAAAAGAGAGTCACTTTGATATAGTGCAAATACCTGAAGAGGGAGTCTTCAGGGAGTGGACATAGATCTTGTTGGATCGAACCACTATAAATTTCTATGTTGTTTTTATGTCTTTATTTTATTTTCTGCATTTTTATATTTTTGCAAAGTTAAAATTTTGTCATTGAAAAGTTATTTTGAAAAAATTCAATATTATGTTTAACTCTATATAATCAGTTTTCTTAAAATACTAAGAGATTTTTAAATTACCAATTCGCCCTCTCTTGGTTAGCCTAGGGACAAACTTTATAGGTCTAGTAACCTATTCGAACTTTCAATTACACTCACTCACTCACACACACACATAGACATGTGGGTCCACTCAAGTCCACACTAGTATACTCTAAATCAATTATAATATAATTATAACAAAAATAAACTAACACATAGAAAATAAAAAAAAATGAAATTTCACAGGTCTTCTTCATCTAGGTCCTTGAATGGGTCTTGATCTTAACAATATGGTTTCCTTGTCTACATCCTAATAGTTGGTTAAATTCAGGGTTTAGATGCTAAATAAGACTTAGAGAGGTCCACTACTGATATAGGGTTACTAATCAATATCCCTAAGAGATCTCGAGGCTAGTCCAAAGTATATTGGATCACGACTAGCCTAATTTGGCCCATGGGGGCCATTTATGAACTAATTTAGGTTTTTGGCTTTATGTTAAATTCAACCTTTAAAAAATGAGGTTAAGCTAAAATACTCCAAATGGCTTTAATAAGATTAAGGAGAGTATTCTAGCAATTTTAGACACCTTTTATGGCAAAAATTGAGATATTTAATCCTAAGAGTTTTATGGAAAACATACTAAGGTTTTAGCTTCTCTAGGGAAAGCCCAAGCTAAGTCCTTGGGAATTCACCTAAAAAAGTCCTATTGGGAAGGAATCTACACTAAGGATGGAAAACTAGGTGTTAGGGCTAGATTCTAAAAGAGTAAAGTTGATTAAAGAATATTAAGTTGATTAATACAACATTTAAACTTACATTATTAAGGAGAATTCCTCTAATACCATAGTAAGGATCATTGAAACCAGCATTGATGATAATTAATTCTTGGTCTAGACTGTAGATTTATTGCAAGTTAGAGTTATTATATGTACTACAATGATAAACATAATTTGTTCAATAAAATATTTATCTTATGTTGTTCTTCAAGAGCGATTAGGAAATTTTGAAAGTAGAACTTCTCTAGAAATAGTCTAAACTTCTACAATCATTTAATGATTACTTTACTAGTGCCTTTTATATTATTTATTTATTTTCCCAAGTAGGAACTACTCCAATTTAATCAGAATAATTTTGAATGAATTTATTAAAAAATATAGCTCCACTAAATAAACATTTCAATTTCTCCATTCAATTGATTGTAAATTTTCTTTGTATGTGCATGACTTTAATGAAAATGATCAGATTGCTCCGAACTTTTTATATTTGGCCTTATTGGATTAGGCAATGTTATAATTTTCTCATCTTGGATAACCATCAAAACACTATCATGAGATGTGTTCAATTGAGTATAATCCTTCCCTTGTATGTATTCATGACATTGCTAAGAAGGCTAAATAGGGCCTTCGTGTGTATATATATATATATATATATTAAACGTAAGGCATAAACTATAGAGAGAAAACGGAAGATGATGAAAAGACAAGAAGCAAACCGCTAATTTGAACTCAACCAAAGAGCCAATTAAAAAGCCCAAAAAGATTTTCATTTTATCATTGCACAACTTAATCATTTTAATTTTACAGCAGTAGCAAATCATTTCATAATCGCCCTTCTGCCAATGACAGTATTCACATGCATTATTTCCCAAATCATCAATAGCAAAAATACATTCGTCGCAGCCGTTAGTACTCTCACCATCAGCAGCAATTAAAAATTCCTCTACCACCGCCACGCCATCGCGGACGGTATCCTCCTCCGCCGTGCTTTCTCCGGTAAAGCTTCGAGCATCTTTCCAGTCTTCATCCCAAGTCCAATTGGGGCTAGAAGAAGCCGACGCGAGCTCATGTATTCTCCACACCGCCGACTCCTGGAGGAATTCCTCTTCTTCTTCTTCCTTTTCCTCCCTTTTTTCCATGGATTCCCACAAACTCAGATCCAGAGTGCTCTTTGGAGAAACCCTAAAATTCTCGCAATTCAAGGCAGAGCTTGAGGTATCCACGAATGGATGGCGTAGAAGTTGTTCCGCCGTCCACCTCTCCTCTGGATTTATCCTTAAGCAATTAGCAACAAAATCCTTCGCTTCATCTGAAAACCATGGCGGAATCGCCGGCGCATCACCGGAAAAACCTATTCTACGGATTCCTCCTGCCGGATCCGCAACGTCCGGCCACGGAGGTTGGCCGGTAACCATCTCTATCACAGTGCAACCAAACGCCCAAACGTCTGCCGGCGTCCCCTGTTCTTGCCCTCTTGCCGCTTCCGGCGCCATGTACATCGGCGATCCTCGTATTTCCCTCTCACTTTCAGATATCCTACGGGCGCATCCCAAATCGGCAATGATGGCCCGGCATTTCGATCCGATCAAGACATTCTCCGGCTTCACGTCGCAGTGGACGATGCCGGAGGCGTGGAGGTAAGCGAGGCCATTGAGGATCTCGAGAGAGAATGATCGGGCGGATTTTTCGTCGAGGCTGCCGCCGCATCGCTTGATTTCATCGGAAAGGGAGCCGCCAGCGGCGTACTCGATGAAGAGGTTGTAGAAAAGGATTCCGCCGGGTCCAGGGGCAATATCGAAGCCAAGGCAGGAGACGACCGAGGGGGAGTTTAGTGAGGAGAGGATACTCTCTTCACGCTGTAGCAGAACGGAGCGAGAGAGCTCAGCTGACTTGACAGCGAAGAGGTTTCCAGAGGTGGCGTCAGCGGCGAGGGAGACGGTGGCCGTCGCTCCGCGGCCGATGGCGGGGCCTCGGAGCCAATCAGCTGCCGCCATTGGAAACGCCTGTTGTGTGTGGCTTTCAGACTAGCTAGTATTTTAAGTTCGAATGAGTTTGCAATAGGGTGGGAGGGGAAGCTTATATAGAAATGGGAAAAGTTTGGGAGATGGAGTGTATACTTGCGCTTGGTTGCTTCCTGTATTTTGTTTTTCTCTTTACGTTTTTATTTTGCTTTTGCTGATAAAAGAAGAAAGAGGTCCACATAAGCGAGAAGCGGCCGTTCACGCTGCGCCGACGGCTAAGTGGTCCACGTGTGGGGAAGTAGAAAGTGCGCGTGCCGGACTGCAATGCATGGCCCGCTAGGCGGCCAGCTCCAGCTAATTAATGCAATAATGCTCATCACCGCGCTAATCACACAAGGAATGCATGCGCCAGCTAATACGTATTATAAAATCATGACGTTATTTCGAGTAACAGTTTTTTTTTTTTTTTAAGCAGAAATCGCAAAGGCAAACAAACCCTAGCAGAGCTTCTCTCTCCTCGCAAAGGCAAAACAGTCTAATGGTCGTTATCGTTAGGCTAATACGTATTATAAAATCATGACGTTATTTCGAGTAACAGTTTTTTTTTTTTACTATTTTGTAAAGTTAGCGTAGAAAAATAATATTTTCAAATTTTGATAGAAAGTGATTTTTTTAATAATTTTTTTAAATAATGAAAAAAATATTGATCAGATAGAAATTATAATTTCGATCTAGAAAATAAAATAGTAAAAAAATTATTCAAACTAAAATCTAAGTTGGATTTGAGTACATTAGAGATTGGATCATTGAAAATTTTATTAAAACTAAATTAAAACATAAAAAATGATGCATTAAGGATTGAACAAGTTAATTTCTCTTATATCATTTAAATCAACAAATCAATTTTTTTTTTAATACAAATACATGTTTTCCAGACTACGGACAAAGAGAACCTCCACTAAATAAATTTGGCCTGCTCGAATATAACAAATTCGACTACAACTTGTAAAATAAAATGTTTGAATTCATAAGTGAATAAAGACAAATGGAGGAGTATAAGCACAGCATCATTTCCATAAATTTTGGGAAGAGCAAGTGTTTAAACATATGTTATAAGCCTCAAAAGCAGCCACTCTTGATCTCTAACTTACTTTTAGTGATGAAGGCCTTACTGCAATTTGAAGTAGTATTTTAGTATAATTTTTTCTAATTTAATAATTTTTAGTAGAATAAAATTGTTTTAGAAAGAAATAGGGAAGATGTCACAAACCAAACCGAAGTCTAAACAAAAGCATGAAATAGGAATTAGTTAATAGAATCAGACTAAAGAATAAAAAAGCATAGATCAAAGCAAGCTATTTTATATTTTTTAATATCAATCAAATTCATATTATTGTTTTGTCGACAAAATTAGCCATAGTACCTCCCATCAGCGTTGGCAATGTATTAACAATCAATTCACCACATATAAACTTATGATCTAGATAGCATATATTATAAATATGTAAATAAAAATTTATTTAGTTTAATTGAAAGAGCCAAAATTGAAAGACGAAATATGAGACCTAGTAAATTCTAAACAAAAGTTTATTTAGTTTAATGTGACACTTAGGCTACGTTTGAGACAGCTTTCTTACTGCTTCTTAATGCGGCTTTTTAGTACAAATATTTTAATTTTTGTACTAGAAAGCCACTTTAAGAAGCAAGAAGAATGCCGTCCCAAACAAAGCCTTAATCTCATGAATTCGGTCAGAAAAGATCAACAAATTAAAAGAATAATCAAATGTGTCTAATGAGATTTAAAATTTAAATATGCAGTAATTATCTTTGATTTTATAATAGTAATAGTAATATGTGAGGCCAACCCTTATATATATATATATATGTTGATGAGCCCAATAGACATTTTATACATATTTTATATTTTTCAAGTTAAAGTTGTGTTATTTGCTAAAAAAATATAAAAAATCTAACGAAGAAAGCTTTCCAATTGAAGAAGAAGCTTTTGGGAAATTACTTATTGTATCATCTGAAGAAGTTATGTTTTCCTCGGATAATTTTATCCCTTTATCTTTAGCATTTGAAATTGGACATTAATAGTATGAGGAGAGTTGGTGTGTAATTCATGTACAATAATTTATATTCATGCAAATTATTACAAATCAAGGGAAATTAAATAATTATATTAGGATTGGCAATACGATTTAGAAATAAAGTTGGACAAAATTAAGTGAGTATATCTTCATTAAATTTTAATTATTATTGTTCATACATAGATGCCTATGTTGATAACTTGCAGCGATATAAATAAATTCATGTAAAGAGCACGTAAAAAGAGGCGCATGCGGTGAAAGAAACACTTGACTAATAGAGGCATAATCCCATAGAGTAGTTGTTAGCAAAAGCCAAGGGGCAAACAACCACTCCCAATGTAGAGCTCGTTATGTACTAACTTTCCTTACAAGATCAAACCAACAATTTAACTAACTTTGGCGGGCTCCTCCGATATGCCTAGTTAGACCAATCTTTAATTTGGGTGGGGGACTCATCTAAACATAACCAGCTCTCAAGCAATAATTGTTTAGACTAAAAACTAAAGATTTACTAATTGTCGCAGCTTATTTATATTATATCACTACAGGAAAAATGGCTATTACCGGTGGTTCCAACCAGCGGTTCATGGACCACCGGTGTTACCGGCGGTTTAGCCGGCGGTTACACCGCCGTCTGTTAACGGCGGTCTGCCGGTGTTTTTTATACGTTAGACCGCCGGTATTAACGGCGGTCCAAAAACCGCCGGCAAACTGTCGGATTCTAATATTCATCGGCGGTTTAGCGGCGGCCTGGACCGCCGTTGATAAGTAATTTTGTACCGGCGGTTTGGACCGCCGGAAAACCGCCGGTTAGTGCCCTAAAACGACCAGGCCCGCAACTGATCACATTGCATTCTTTCTCGTTCTTTCTCTCTCGTTTCCCTCGCCTCCGCTCGCCTCTGCTCTTCCGACCGCGACCGACGAAGGTTCTCCGACCTCCGCAGACGAAACTTCTCCGACCGCCGACCCAGATCCGACCGGCACTCCGACGTCCGACCTCGCTGACCCAGTCCGATCCCAAACCGCCGTCCGACTTCAAGTTTTCAACCCTAGATTTCTATTTTAAGGTATATTTTATGTTTTTTCTTTGATTCCTTTTTCTTACTAGACATAAGCAAGTGTTAGAGTTATGTATTTACTTTCCTACACATTGATGTGGTTTGATACTAACTTAGAATGAATTCAACATAAATCTAAGTGTTAAATTTGGGTATTAAAATTAATATCGATGGCGTTCATTGATCTTATAAGTGATGGGACGTGTTTGCATTAATAGCGATGATTTATGGGAATTTTAGTAGGCATGTAATATTGATTAGGTTATTGTAGGGCATTAGACCATAGTTGGGTGATAACATTTGGAGGACTATAGATGGATAACAGTGGTTAGAGAACCATCATCAAGCAATAATGAAAAAAGTTTTATGGTTTGGTGATAGTGGTAAGAGGAAAAGTAGTCATGTGACATTGATGTGGTGATGAAGTTTGAAGGAACATAATTGGGCGATTATGATCTGATGATCGTAATTGGAATGCGATAGAAGTTGGAGAATTGTGATTAGTTGTAGGAGGTTAGAAAAATTGTATCCATGTGACAATGGTCTGAGGACCATACTGATGATTATGGTTCAAGGACTATAGTTAGGTGATGGTAGTTGGAAGACCATAATCAAGCAACAGTGGTATGGAGACCAAAGTTAGATGCCAATAATTCAAGGACAATTATCGGACGATGGTGGTACAAGAACCATATTCCAGAAACGGATGAGGTTGAAGGGATCATACTTGCGTGATGATAGTTTAAGGATCATAGTGGACCACTGGTGAAGGCTTACAGGAAAAATGGCTATTACCGGCGGTTCCAACCGGCGGTTCATGGACCGCCGGTGTTACCGGCGGTTTAGTTTTCTGTATTTAGGGGGGAATTATACGGGGAAAGCAATTTTTTTTGAAAAAACTAATCGTACGTTACGATGTGCTTTAGTATTGATGCCGAATTCCCCTGGAAAAGAAAATTTCAAAAAAATTCGAAAAAAAATTTTTAATTTGCTTCAAAACGGTTTATATTGTCCGCTTTTACTATATTTTTAAGAGACTCCTTTAAAAAAGAAATTGGAACTTAAAAAGAAGTAAGTAGAATAAAGGGTGATCTGATAATAAAAAAAAAAAAAATTACTGCCACAAAACACTAGAAAAAGGGTGTGAATAAAAAAGGAGTATTTTTGTCAGTATAACCAAAATTAGTGAGCCACTCCAAGTGGATTGGTTGTAAAGTATCTGGGAGGATAAAATGTATTTTTTGGCTTCTTCTTTATTTCCCTGCTGTTGGGGGGCCAAAAAAAAATAAAAAAAAGGAGAGTCACTTCTCATCTAAATAAGTAGGGCCAATATACACTGGAAAGGGGGATGAGGAGAGTACATTAGGGGAGTAGAGGGGGACATAAGGGGATTTCTTGTTGGGAATCGAAAAACCAACCTTATTAAAATTTTTTCATGATGTTATTGTTTTTTATTTGGGGTCTTTATTTTTATATTTTTTTTGCATATTTTTATATTTTTTTGCAAAAAAAGTTAAAAGAAAAAAAGAATTTTTGGTTTCATTTTGAAAAAAAAAAAAAAGTTATTTTGAAGAAAAAAAAAAAAACCAATATTTATGTTTAAACTCGTATAATTTTTAAATTCAGTTTTCTTTTAAATATACTTATAGAGGGGATTTTTAAAACCAATTTACACACAATTTTTTTGGGCGCCTTCCCTCTTGTTTTTTTAGCCCCTAGCAGACAGAAACAAAACCTTTTATTAGGTGCTTTAGTTTAAAAAACCTATTCGAACTTTTTTTTTTCAAAATTTTACAGCTCACTTCCCCACTCCCACCCCCCCACCACAAACTCATTTAGGGACCATTGTTGGGTTTTCCACTTCCAAAGTCCAAAAACCCAACTTAGGTAATTACTCTTTAAAATTTTTCAAAATTTTATTTAAATATTAAATTTATTAAACAAAAAAATTTAAAAAAACTTTTTAAAACAACATAGGGAAAATAAAAAAAAAATTTTAGGGAAA